TGGTATATTTTACAGATGCAATGTTTGAATATATAGTTAATGGCTTTCTCCCCATAAGACTACATCTGATTGTACTAAAGAAAGTGTCTGCTACAGCAAGATGTTTAATAATTATTTGTTGAATGAATGCATCAATGAATCTGCCTTGTTTTTTCCCTAGACAAAGACTAGACACCATATGAGATGGCATATACAACACACCCTGCTTACACATCATTAGTTCTGGAAAGCCTTCCAGACTTCCCAAGTAAAATGCCACTGTATTGCATGTGTAAATTCTGACTGACTTGTATATCATCACAAAAACTAACAGTTCCTTGTGTATAAGAGGCATAACATTTACTGCATGTATTTCAGTACACACATTACTATATAGGGTTACATATTTCTCTGCATTATTGCAGAGACTTACTGTTGTAAAGGTACCATACCTTCAGCAGCACTATCCTAAGATAAGGGTAGCTATTTGTCTCCACTATAAAGGCTGTAAAGCTGTAATAAGTGTAAGAAGCATTCACACATGCACACAGACTCACACCCACAGATTAAGGGTGTGAAACCTGTCGGGGTGACAGTACTAAGGCACACGTAGGATTTATCCAGCCCTGGAGCATGATGTGGTTCTTTCCCCTTTCTATCACCAGGGTGCTTCTTTTCTTCTCTCAGTATCTTTGATTTGACACCCCTGTTAATATTTTACATTATCACCACACATTTTTTGGCCCCTCTTCTCTGCTTTTTTTTGTTTTCATTCTATGAAAACAAAAGTTTTTCAATTTTTACATAAATTGTTTTGCATTGCTGGGAGTGTAGTCTGCTTCTTCTAAAAATCATCTAGAGGTAAAGTCTTCTTCAGCTACTTCCAGATCCTACACCTTACAAAAAGTCAGAATTTCTAGAGAGATGGGACTTAACTGCAACATGGTAAGTCAAACTGCCAATATCCTTCTTTTGTCAAAAGGAGAAAACATAAGCTGAAAAAGTTGATGTAGTTATATTTTTATGGTTCTTGAAATGTTACTATGTAATTTTTACTTGATTTAGCAAATGCTGCTGTGTGAGAGAAGAAAATTATTTTCAACTTGCTGAGGTAGCAAGTTTCTTTTTATGCCCCCTTTATGCTTGAAGCTGTCAAGTCTACAGGCAGTTGAAACTAGATTTATAGGTTATTCACCAAAAAAAGTCACTGCAAACAGCACCTTGAAACCTTAAAACTTGCACAGTTTAACAGAATATCCAGGCATTTTTAGCAGTTTATAGTATGAGTAGAAGCTGCCAGGCAATATGTAACATATTTTAAGAGAGAAGGTCAACAAGGCTTATTACTGTTGAACTATAATTTCACAAACAATGTAAACCAAAGAGATAGTTAAAAGTGCTCATTAAAGAAATGGGAAATGTTTCAAAACAGGACGTCTCTGATAAGCTCCCCTGAAAACCAAACATAAAGCAACTGGTTTCTTCTAGTGTTCTTCAACATGATCTATTATTGTTTCAGCTAAAAAAAAAAAAAAAAAAAAATTGTTTTCATGGTTCTGATCCTTTCCAAAACGGTGTATCAAGAGTATGTTTATATCAAAGTGGTAATGATAAAATATTTTACAATTCTAGACAATAAAATATCTTTCACTTAATATACAACTTGTAAAGAACTACCAATATTCTTTGCAAATGTACTTCTGCCTAAAAGTTATGTTGGAATATGATGGGAGCAAAACTTTTATACTCTTCTCATATGACTGTTACCAAAAGTGTAGCACACAAAAGTAAAGTTATGTTGATGGTGCTGTAAAGGTTGCTTCCCATCTGAAAACAGATCATTAACCAGCAATCTCCTGGGGAAGAGGTGTGTCTCTCAGAAAACAGAAGCCATAGAAGAAAGGTGCAGGGTGGGCTACAGAACCAGAAATCTGACTTTCTTGGTCTTGATCATTAATGTGTTTGGGAGGAAGCTTCTACATGATGGCATGTGAAAAGAAGCTCTCCATCTGTGGATAGGTCAAAAGTTAGAAATTAGAAATTCCAGCAAATTCTCTTGATGTACCACTTTGAAATAGCTATCTCCTGGCAACATGTGGAAGAGGGCAGGCACCTCAAGACAAAAGAGCATTCACTTTATACTCCATACTGCCATTGTGCTTCCTATTTTATTTATCTCACAGTTGTTCTTCTCTAGTGCTAAATTTTAACAAAGACTTTTATAAGCTGTAGTCTTTCTTAGATGTTCAAAGGTGAAAGAAAGGGAAGGGAGTTTGGTGATATACACTTGGGCCAGAGGATGGTCAGTATGGTGGTAGCACCAGTAATCAAATAGAACACAAAAGAGAAGGTGAAGTTCAAGGGGAATCAGGTAAGAAGACTTGTGTGTTCATCCTCCTATTTCCCCTCTAACAGAAACACAAAGACAAAAACCCCAGAGCACAACCTGGTTAAGCCTTGCATGTTAGAAATCTGGAGTTTCTAAGAAACTGTGTTCCTTCAGAATAAAATGGAAACACTATTTCTCATGCTACCTTATGGTATCTTCAACTCAAAATTGCTAGGTAAGGCAAAGACATACATACAATACAGTGCCTTACCTTTCAGATACCTTAGACTTTGCAAAACACAGAATTAGCCATTTTCAGATAACTCTAATCAGCACTTAGGTGGGCCACTGCAAGATAAAGCTTTCTTTGTTTCCAAACTCCTCAGCACAAGCACCTTATCTTTCCCAAAGAAGAAAGTAAATTTACACACCACAAAATGCTTTAATCCAATTTTCTATTTTAAAATGTGTTATTTTGATCAACAATTTAAATTAGAAGTGGTCACCATGGCTTGATGGAAATGAGTTTTGAATCTTTATTCCACACATTTGGGCAGTATTCTTGGATCTGCCACTTATAACTGAGCAAATCTTTGATTCCCTCTGTGCTTCAGCATCCTCATCTGCACATAAGGGTGTTAAGCTGTGCCATCACTAATTCTATGGAAAATACCTTTTCAAAAACACAATCTCAACTAATTATGTTCTAACATGTTTCTATTTTTTGAAGTTTCAAAAGGTTGAGATTTCTATAAAAATTCTGAAAATTCAAAAGGTTAGTAGAAATATGCAATTCCCCCTTAAGGGGAATCTCCAAAGAGAAAAAACAAAAAGGCATTAAGTAAATCTGTTATTGAGACAAACTGAGCCAAATCTCCTCTCATAGTGAGGTTTATTCCACACATATAACTAAACACTACAAGAGATCAATGTAGTATTTAGCGCATTATTTAAACATAACCACCACACTGTGGTGGTACTCTATGGTCCTAAATTCTTCCAGTGCTCTTCTCTGCCTAAACTTTTGAGATTCTGCATTTTAACATAGTAAGTCTCTACTTAAATATAAGATCTATATAGGCTACCTGAACACCTACGAGATCCTACCTCTCTTCTTTGGCACAAATCTAATCTGTTCAAGACCCATTAGGAATTACATGTAAACTCCCAGAAAAAGTCTTATTAGACCCACGGATTACTATTGCTTTTATGAGTCACTGCCATACAAAAGCAACAAAGTCTGGTGGAAGAAGAAACATGTCAAACAGATTATCTGCAACATAAAGTGACAAATGTTACAATATAACATTACTAGGGACTTATAACAAAGTAACAAAAAAGGGAGGCACTAGCAAAGCTTGGGTAGAGACCCTGGCTATAGAACTCTGATTGGCAGGGGCATTCCAAGGTCAATTGTATCAGACTTTACTAAGGACCTACACTGTAATGGCTCCCCGGCACTACAAATACACTTAAAAATAAGTTGCAGTTCCCCACCCTTAAGGAGCTTGTAGTCCAAAAAAGAACAATATGTGTTTGGGACCAAAATAAATGAGACTAGCCTTTGGAGGTGGGGTCATGTTGGAAAGAAGTAAAAGACCAAGTTTGTAAATGAAATCGTGTAACTAGGTTGAAGAACTGAGGCTCAATCTAATGAAGAATGGAGAGAAACTCAAATAAAAGAGTGATCCAAGATTATCCAAAACATCCTTGTGAGGTAAAGAAACTGAAGGTAGAGATTCCAGAACAAAAATAAAAACTGAGTACGGTGAGTTTTTAACTCCGTAGCCTGTCACCCTAATGGTGTTCTACGCAAAAACTATGGGAACAACAACGCATAATAGTTAAAAGCACCAGATTTGGAACCAGCTCCCCTGTGCTCACCTTTCAACTCCACCACTTCCTAGCTAGGTCAGGAAAGTTACTTAACGGTTCTGTGCCTGTCTCCTCACCTGTGAAGGAAAGGGCCTGCACAGCCAGAAGCCCCTTCTTCAAAACATAGGTATTGTTACATCACTCCAATCGAAAACTTTATTCACAAAATCAAATCCGTATCTTTTAGGCACTTGTAGCCTCCATAACCTGGCCCAACCTTTCTGGTCTTAATCCTCATTGGACACCCTCCTACTTCCACGAACCACAGGATCTAGTGTCAGTTCTGCAAACCAATAAGCACTTTCCTACTTAGGTGTCGCCTCTCCAGTGGCTGTCTAGAAAGCCTTTTCCTCACCGGTCTTTCAAAACCTACTTCTCGAGGAAATGAACTCTCCTTCCCTTCCTATTCCACAGCACATTTACCTGCCCCTCTGCACAGTTTGCCACTGTTTCCCGTTTTTGTGTTTGTTCCTGTAATGCCTCCCTCTCACCCCTTTTCACCAAAATAGTGAACTTTCAGAGAGCTGGGGCAAATCTTTTTTATCCTCCTTCCCACCCCTCCTTTCAGACTGTGTCTATGCAGGCCTGCAAAAGCGTTACTGAGTTAAACTGGATGTTAACAACCATAATGGCCTCAGTTCCAGAAACTGCTTAATTTCACATATTTTTTTTTACTGCTTTCAGGTTCTAAAATCTTAACATGAAACGTCTTTAAAAATCAGAATACTGCCATCGCTTCAAGAAAAGTTCCACGGGCACCCACACGAGTTGGCAATGAGGTCATTCTTAGCTTCAGAAGTTGTGTGTGTGCCACGGAGGGCAGCTTCACACCGGTCGGTACACGCTGCTCTGAAACTAGGAGAAAGAGGCGGCCGGGCAGTCCACGGGCTTGGCTCTGGTCGGCCCTCAACTCCCTGCGGGCCCGCGGGCTCCGGCCGCGCTCGCCCCTCTCCGCCACACTCGTTCCTCCAGCCCTCGCCTCCCCTCGTCCCGCCGCAGCAACTCTCCCCGGAGCGGCGCGGACAGCGTGGCAGATCCTCCCGGGCGGATCCGCTCGGGCCTGGGCCGCCAGCCACCCTGCCTGCTCTGCTCGCGGCCCCCGGCCTCCCCCCGGCCCGCCGCCCGCCGCCCCGGGCCCAGGCCGCGCTGCCGCGGCCGCCCCGAGGGGAGCTGGGGGACTCGGCCGGCTCCGCGTGGCGCCGGGGGCGGAGCCGGCCCGGAGGGCCCGGGGAGAGGCCGGGGGCGGGCGGCGGCCTCCGCCTACCCCGACACGCACCCCACCGCCCCCAACCCCAACCCTCCTCGGGGCCCCGGCCCGCGCTCGCGGCCGGGCGGCCGGCGGGACTAGCCACTTACCAACCCGCCTGGGACAACGCCGCGCCGGGGACCTCAGACATGGTAGCTGCTTAGGCCGGGGGTGGGGGGGGGCTAGGGTGGGGTGGGGGGTAGGCCTCCTACTTGAGACCAAAAAAAAAAAAAAGAAAGAAAGAAAGAAAGAAAAAACGAAAGAAAAGAAAAGAAAAAAAAAAAAAACTCCTCTGGTCGGCTCTGCAACTGGGCATGCTCAGTGCGGCCGGCGCTTCCGCGTGCGGGTTCCGCTCGCCGCGTTTTCCGAGCGGCCGCAGGGGCAGGCCTGGCGTGGGGCTTGGAGGTTACAGCCTGGCGGAGGCCGTGATGCCCCACAGACCCGCTGGGGTCTGGAAATCGCAGGCCAATTTGTGAGCAAGGACCACGAGACTTTGCTCTCCATCGAAGGCTGATTATTTTTTGTTTGGGGTCACTTTTCTGAGTTGCACACCTTGGAAACTAATGCAGACTTTTTTTTTTTTTTTTTTTGTACAGCAGAAAGTAACGCCCGCGTTTCCAGCGCCGAGAGGCGGTCACTTCACCAGAGACCAGGATATGCTAGAGCTGAGACGGATGGGTCGGTTGAGAGGCAGTGCTTCCAGTTTGGGGACAGTGAAACTCAACGAAAGAGGTGTTGCCAGCCACTCTGCATAGGAAAAAAGTTTACTTTTTTTTTTTTTTTAATAAAGACTCGCTCCATTCACTCTGCTTTTCGATCTGCCCCGACGCAAAGAAAAGAATAAAGTCGCATTTTTTTCGAGTCCTCACGGGCAATCAGTTTGTAGAGGTTGGAGCACAATGAAAATGATGAACCCAAGAAAACCTGAACTTAAGGGACATGGTTGTAAAATTGGGCAGTTGTGTCAGTGCTTGTTTTCTCTGTCCCTCTGCCACTAGACCCGTCCAAAGTCCCAGCGCGGTCCTGTGACGGTAGCACCGGCATAACCGGGCCTGGATGGCTCCACAGCCTCCGCGTCCGTGTCCTTCTCTAGCCCCCAGGATGGCTGAAGCGCAGGGGCTGGTCCCCCGAGTGAGCCTGCGCGGCGGCGTCGCCGAACGCGCGTTGGACGCTCCAGCACGATTGGACGGCTGAGACCGACGACAGCCAATCGGGGAGGAGCAGGCGGAAGGGGCCACTGGTCGGGGAGACACTCCCTAAAAGTGTGCTCCGCCCTCCGTGGTTTTCCACCTCTGCGGCTACTCGGCATAAAGACGCTTCTGTGTAGCTCCGGCCCCAACTGTCAAGTCACGGGGAGAAACCGAGAACTTAAGCCCCGTCACCCGCCGCTGCCTCATCTGAAACCATCATCACAAACACAGACTTGGAGCAGAGACTGCGGAACTGGGCAGAGCCGCTCCGGGAATTGGGGAGGAAATTGACAGTTACAGAAGGAAGGAAATAATTGCCATGGGTGGAGCTCAATACAAATTGGAACTCAGTACAAATTTTTCTCCTTTTAACTGGGAAACTCCGTTTGGGCTTTCCAAGGCATAGTTGTAAAATCGCGATGCTTCTAATGCTATCGAAATATGTTTCCAAGCACATTACTTATTTTAATGAAAAGTATTTCCAAGTACTTAGAATCAGAAATAATTCCATCCTATTCCCTGCAATTTGCAGTAGTATACTGTGTTTAGACCATACACATGCTACAAGTATATTTCAATTTAATGGCACCAGTTATCCTACCCTGGAGTCAGGAAAAGATTTGCAATTCTGAAGGTAAATAGATGATTCAAATTGCTAATAATTTTTATTGGTGTTAAATAGGATCCACTCTTACCAATTATTTACATTTTGCAATTAATGTAAGTTGTTAACTATGAAAATGATATGCTGTCCTAATGTCAGAATTCTTCACTGGCTAAATGTGAATCCCTTACACGTTTGTTCTTGTGGTGCAGTGTAGTAAGAATTTACCATCGCGTAGCACTTACAATAACTTTAATAAAATGCTCCATGAAACGCTATATCCCCTTACTTTAAGAAGTGTTTTTAAAGAATAGGTTGAGGATTCCCACTGGAAAAATTTGGGACAATATTACCATCAAAAACAATGACAATAATTTATTGAATTAAAAAAAATAGGTAAAATGCATTTCAGAGTGGCACTAAAAACAAGTGGTACCTTGGCTGGCTCAGTTGGTAAAGCATGTGACTCTTGATCTTGGGGCTGTAAATCCAAGCCCCCCATTGAGTGTAGAGATTACTTAAAAATAAAATCTTAAAAAGAAATAAATAAAAGGAGGAAGGATGACAGCTTTTCTTTCAGAGGCATACCAGAGAATAAATGTAGAACAACTGATAGAATTAGAAAATCACCATTTTCCGAATCATTCACAACTGATGCAGGCACAGTTCATCAAAGAATGCTAAAAGCCACTGGTGAAAGTTAGTAGGTGTACAGGATCTTCACACAATCTCAAGGTATCAAGCCATAACTTAATTATTACAAAGAAAAAATGTACCTTTACCTTAAAAAAGAAAATCACTGCCTTAAACAAATGACTAAAGCTAGAATCACTAATGGGACAATCTGATATGTGCTTACTGATGTAGTGCAATTAGAAATACACAACATCATTGCCAAAATTGTTTAACCTGAATTTAATCAAGCTTCTAGACAATAGTTCCCAACCAGGAGCTGGATCCCCATCCCACACCCTACCCCTTACCCAAGTGGACACATTTGACAATGCGTGGAGACATTTTCAGTTGTCATAACCTGGGGCGGGGGGGGGGGGTGATGTTACTGCATCTAACGGGTACTGCTAAACATTATACAATGGACAGGACAGATTCCTCACAACAAATAATTATCTGGCCCAAAATGTCAATAGTGCCAAGGTTCAGCAGCCCTGGTCTAGATATAAGCAAAAATGTAAGGATATATAGAGGATACTGGAACAATCAAACAGGAAGAAACAGGCAGATAAATCCAGAATGTGGCATATTCTATAAGAAACCTGGCCTGGACTGTTCATTGAGCCAATATAATTAAAAAAAAAAAATCTCCAAATTAAAGGGACTCCAGAAATGTAACAACAAAGTGGAATTTTGGATCTTAAAAAAACAGAAAGATATTTTGTGGTATTATACTTAATCTTGGAAATTTTATGCCAAAGCTTTTATGGCTTTTATGGCTGAGGAGTTGTGGTGTCTACAACTTATTTCCAAGTGATTCAGAAAAAATATATATGTAGATATATTATATATATATATGTAAAACAAATATACACACATGTATGTGTATGTGTATTAAAGAGGGAGAGAAGGTAAATGTGGCAAAATGTTTAAAATGGGTGAATCTAATTGGAGGTGCTCGTCATAGTGTAACTTTTCTCTAACTTTGAAATTTTTCAAAGCAAAAAGTTAAAAGTATAGATTATACTAATCTCTTTCACATCCAAAATTTTTAATTGGAATTAAGGTCTGTATAGATAAGTTAGTGCAATGGAAAATGGTAGCAGCTGACTAAACCAAGTAATAATAATAATAATTTTAATTTTTAATAAGATAAATCATCACTTTACAGAAAATGTGAAGTCTACAATTAGCTTAAAGTTGGGGGAAATCCTAAGGATGATAGAAGAGCTTTCCAAGGCAGGGTGTCTGAGTGACTCATTTGGTTAAGTGTCTGTCTTTGGCCCAGGTCAGGAGCCCGGGGTTCTGGGATTGAGCCCAGCATCAGGCTCCCTCCTCCTCTCCCCTTCCCCCACCCCTCCCCCTCCCTGTTCTTCTCTCTCTCTCACTCTCTCTCAAATAGATTTTTTAAAAAGAAAGAGAGCTTTGCTAGGCACAAGAGAATAAAAAGGAAAAGGTAAATTTATTTGGAGTCAATGGTGTTAAGTTAACAGAAGAGAGAGACAGCATCCATTCACTTCTGTTTTGTCCTTATCATTTCAGTGAAGGAAGTGGTTCAGAGTGATAAAGGATAGAATATGGAAAAATAGGAATAAGAACCACAATAAAGGGGCGCCTGGGTGGCTCGTATGGTTAAGCGTCTGCCTTCAGCTCAGGTCATGATCCCAGGGTTCTGGGATCAAGCCCCGCATCGGGCTCCTGACTCAGCGGGGAGTCTGCTTCTTCCTCTCCCTCTGCCTCTCCCACTGCTCATGCTCTCTCTCTCGCTCTCTCTGTATCTCTGTGTCTCAAATGAATAAATAAAATCTTAAAAAAAAAAAAAAAGAACCACAATAAAAGGTGAGGTTATAAGAATACCTAGTCTCTCTAAAGCACATTAAATCTTTTGATCTTAAGTCATTAACATCCCGGAGAATACTAAAATAACCTGTGAATGACTTAGAGGAGCCAATGCCAGGGACCCCTGAAGAACTGTTGAGCTCATCAGGAAACGTGGTAGAAGCTTGGAAACAAGCAAAAATATTTCCAGTTCTAAGAACAGGAAAAGAGTCTTTAAAATAAATGGTCCTGGAACAAGTGGATATCCACATGCAAAAAAGTAAAGTTCCTTACATCATACACAAAAATTAACTCAAATTAAATCATATATTTAAATGTAAGAGCTAAAAATATAAAACTCTAGAAAAAGAAAAAGAATCAAATCTCCATGACCTTGGGTTAGGCAATAGATATGACATCCAAAGTACGAGCTAAAAAAGAAAAATTAGATAAAGTGGACTTCATCAAAATTTAAAACTTTTGTGCTTCAAAGGACACCACCAAGACAATGAAAAGATAATCTACAGAAAGGGAGAAAATAAGGGTTTGAAGCAAGAATATGTATAGAACTCTACTGACTCAATAGTGAAAAGACAACTCAAAAATGAGCAAAGCATTTAAACAGACATTTCTCTAAAGAAGGGATACAAATGGGCAATAAATGGTTAAAAGATGCCCAACATCATTAGTCAGTAGAGAAATGCAAATCAAAATCACAGTGAGATGCTTCACACACACTAGAATGACTATAGTTAAAAAGATGGATGATAACAAGTGTTAATGAGGATGTGAAGAATTTGAAATCTTCATACATTGTTGGTGGGAATGTAAAATTGTGCAACCACTTTGGAAAACAGTTTGGCAGTTTCTCAAAAAGTTAAATATAGAGTTTCCATATGATTCAGCAATTCTATTCCTAGGTATAGATATCCAGGAGAAATGGAAACTAATGTCCACACAAAAACTTGTATTTGATGTTCATAGCAGCATCATTCATTATAGCCAATAAGTGGAAACAATCCAAATGTCCATCAATTGATAAATAGATAAACAAAAGGAGTGGGGTTTCACAAACTAAAGACAAGGGAATTTGCTGTTAACCCATTAATCATGATTCTAGAACATATAATTTAGGAGATTAATTTTTAGGAGGAAGAATAACTGAAATAGCTGACCTCTAAAGATTAACTTCTAGAATTCTACAATTCTAGATCATGCCAGATGAACCTCATTTTATTTTATTTTAAGTTTCTTAACTAGTGAATACAAGCAGTAGGGTGTGACCGTCAGGACAGACCAGGTCATTCCATGACAATAAACAACCACAAAACACTAGTGGCTTTTAATAAAATGTTTATTTCTCTTAAAAAAAAAAAGAAGAAGAAAAGAAAAAATGGTCATTTTTCTTTCATGTTTTATGTCCAATGTAGGTGTTTGGAGGGTGGGGAGGAAGGTCTCTGATCATAATGGTCATCTTCATTCCAGAATCTGGACAGAGCATTAACCATCAATAACATTGCTGATTGAAGCAGTAAAGGGTAAAAGGGCTCTGGAGAATCTCACACAGGAAATTAATGCTCTGCCAGGACTGGACATATGACAACACAGGAAGTCAATCACCAGTTGCCAGAAGGTGGAGAGCCATGAATATTCAATGAGCAAGATTAATGGCTGTGGTACCAGTATTATTTGTAATAACAATGAGGTACCAGTATTATTTGTGATAACAAAACCCTGAAGGTAACCAGAATGTCCATCAATGAGGGAATATTTAAATAAGTTCTAATGGGTGCTATGTAGACATTACCAAAAAAATGAAGTAGATCACTATGTACTGACTAAGATATATTAGTCAGATGTGGAGTAAGAATAGAAGCAAGTTTTAACATGATGAATTACTACAAGTCATTAAGAAAAAGGTAAAAATCCCATGAGAAAAATGGGCAAAGTATCTGAATCGGCAATATACAAAACTGAAATCTAAGTAATCAATATATATGTGAAAATGTTTAACCATATCAATAACCACAAAAATGAATTTTTAAAAATTTTATTGAAATGTAGTTGACATACAATATTATATTAGTTTCAGTTATACAACACAGTGATTAAAACAACGGGCTATCAATAAAATTCCACTTTTGGAGCACCTGGGTGGCTCAGTTGGTTAAGCGGCTGACTCTTGATTTCAGCTCTGGTCACGATCTCAGGGTTGTGGGATTGAACCCCACATCAGGCTGAGCACAGAGCCTGCTTGAGGATTCTCTCTCTCCTCTCCTTCTCTCCCCCCCAAAATAAATAAATAAATCTTTAAAAAATTATAAGAAATAAAATAAAATTCCGGGCGCCTGGGTGGCTCAGTTGGTTAAGCGACTGCCTTCGGCTCAGGTCATGATCCTGGAGTCCCGGGATCGAGTCCCGCATCGGGCTCCCTGCTCGGCAGGGAGTCTGCTTCTCCCTCTGACCCTCCTCCCTCTCATGCTCTCTGTCTCTCATTCTCTCTGTCTCAAATAAATAAATAAAATCTTTAAAAATAAATAAATAAAATAAAATTCCACTTTCATCTAACCCAGTGGCAAAAACTAGTAAAGAATATCAAATGTTGGCAAGGATATGGGGAAATTGATTCTTTAATACACTGCTGATAGGAGTGAAGTTCATACAACCACTTTGGAGAGTATTTTGGCAATATCTAGCAAAACTGAAAATGTGTATACCTGAAATGTGTTGAACATTTCCATTTTTAGGTACTTATTCCAGAGAAAGATGTTCATTGACATGTTGCTTT